TTTAGTCTGTTGCAAACTTGGCACGAACAGACTTCGATTCGATTCCCGGTCGAATGCCTCGCGATCGAATCTCGGCCCGCGTTTCCAAACACGAAATATATGTAGATTTTCCACCCCTCCTCGTGTGCTTTCTCCGCCACTTAGAGGATCTCGCTTTCGAACTCGACCATCGACGATCACCGGTTTAAATTACGAGGGTAGCTCGTTCGAGGGAAAAGAACAACTCGGTAAAAAAAATCTCGTCACATTTTTCCGCCGGTGGGGTGTTCGCGTAACGTCGGGAAGGGCGTCGAGAATGGACTATACTGTATAATAGTGGCCGCGAAAAGTTGCAGGGGCGAAGGGGAGAACGTAGGGGATGGGGAATAGTAGGCGAGGAGAGAAGAGTATTCGCAGCATGTGGTCTCGTCAACCCCGTTGCTCGACTCTCTCTTTTCACTCGCTTCTCCCCTCTTGTTTCCTTTCTATCTTCCATCTACCTTCGCGCACCGATTTCGGTACTCTCGTTCCCGTTTGCTTGGACTAAATTTCCCCCTGGGTTCAAACTCGCTTCCTACCGCACCTACCCCTTTTGTAAATACTAATTGCTCTATACAAACGTCCGAAATGTACTTAACGTTCCCTTTCTTGCACGAGAACGCCCCTCGCGGATGTAACCTTATCCTCTCTCTAGCTTCTCGTCACTTTCCTTTTCCTTTTCCGCCGTCTATTTCTTATGTTTACTCGTCACTCGTCGCGCGTCGTTACGCGTGGCCCTTCGCGCTACGAAAAACGGAACGTGAAAACCTTTATTATAATAGAGAATAGACTTACCGAAACGAGGGTATAAAAAGTGTGGCGGATCGCGGTACGAATACGAGCGAATTTTAAGAAGAGTAAATCCGCTTAGCGCCAACCATAAAGGGAAACAAACGGGTTGACGGATAATTTCCTATTTCCGTTGACCGTACGCAGGATGATCGAAATTTTACCGTCGTTGGATGTTCAAGATAAACGAAACGAACGCGAATCTATTTACCGTTGCTGTCTACGAACTGTCCGGAATAGAATGGAACAGAAGAAAACGGAACGGGATGAAACGAATCGGTTCGCTCGTATTCTCCGGTTTTGGGCAACAAGAGGTGCGACACGATATATCTGTGTGCGAATATCTGCTGCAAGAGAGCCTAGAGTCGAAGCCGAAACCAGCTATACGTATAGCCGATTTACTCTTTGATTCCAAGTTGAGGGGTGTAAGAGTCGTGGGAGAAAAGTCAGCGAATATGCAACCCCTTGTACATATGTACGCGACAAAGCTTTCTACACCGTCGGTATCATCAGCATCGACCCTTCAGCCGCAATGTTACTGGACACACCAACCATATATGTACCACCTAATCGCTATAACTCTTCTTTTCCCTGTTCGTATCGCTATCTCTTTTTTCATATAGCTACACAAACACTGTTTGTCGATATCCTACTCGAGATGCGACCAGTTTTTCCATTTTTCTCAGGTTTGTCTCCACAGCCGTCGAAGAGACGAACGAATTTAATCGTTCATGAATTTCAGATCAAAAATCGAAGTTACCGCGATACATTCATCGGACACCGTAGCTAGAAATTTATACCGAAACGAGAAATACAGATATTAGATTACATCCGAGGATTCGTTATAAAAACAGAGACATAAAAATGATAACGTTAACTGAAACAATCCTTTAGGTTAGAATTTTAAAATCCTTTTAAAAACATGACTACGTTCGACTGATTTTTAAGAAAACACTTTCATCTGGAAATATAAAATCATCGTCGAGGTAAACTAACAAAAAATTCATGATATGTAACGAATACGAGATCGTATGTGGCATTTATGCTAACTACCATATGACTGTGTTTCTATCATGTGAGGTTACGTTTTCTATGCGGTAAATTCGAAACTACAATATTATATAGTACGTGTGTACAATATGAATTATAGTAATTTATGCGATTATTAAATTACCGTTCTACTGTTTTTTGTTATTTTATCGAGTATTTGTAGTTTATTCCAAATTTATTTGTAACTGTTGCTAACACTTATGTCTTCCAATTAGCAATTACCCAAATCATTAGAAGTTCTTGTGTTAATCATTTTAGGAAGAAGCTTTTAGAACTTTTTACTAATATTTTACGTGTTCAAAATTAAAAGTATGTTTTGTATCCAGCGTACGAATGCCCATGACATTCTATATTAGGAGATTGTCTCCTGTTGTTAGGAGACATAAAATTTTCATTGTTATTATTTTGTGATTGTTGTATCATAATCTTTTGTTAACTTATTTGCTAACAAGTTTGAGATGTTGCGACGATTCAGTTGAGTACAAGCAATTTGGTTGCTTTATTAGACATTAGGTAGTTTGATAAAAAATAGAGGTATCTTTCGGAATGAATAGGTTTTTGATACCAATTTCAAATTTGGTAGTTATGGAATCTGATCGATCTTACATCTAACAAACATAGGCAGGAAACCAATAGTGTTGTCGACATCTTGTTCTTTTACTGGAAGTAAGATATCACAGACGTGCCAGTAATATAGCAAGGGTTTATCTTTTAGAATCAAGAGAGTCTATACTTTAGTATCCTCCATCGTGATATTGGCAAAAATTGGAACTGAAATAAAACCCATGGATAACCCAAAACTTTCTAGCACGTACCATTGAATGAAAAATGTTTTGAACGTAATATCCAATCTATTACATTTATGAATCCCTTTTCTAGGATATTTATGTTATTTTCTATTAGATGTAATTTATTTTAATTTTATTTCTAGGACAAATAAGTTTCTTGTCGTGTATATTAACTTGTAAACTATTTTTTAAGGAACTTATTTGTCACAAGTTCTTTATGTCAGGGTCCACCGGCGCCACAAAATTATCTTAAAGTTGTTATATGTATAGTTGCTAATACCAAAAAAAGTTCAGAGAGCAAAAGGTTAAGCCTCTAACTGAACCCGCTAATGCGACATACATATACCGAAAGTTCTTCGCACGAAATTCTAACCTATTTTCACATTCGATCCCATATCTGTGTTTTCTGTCGGTGGTAAAAATAAATCTGTATTTTTCAAGTTCTTTCTATCCTCGACCCTTTTCATATTATACTCTCTCCACTCCGCCCACCTATCTATTCCTTCGTGCATTTATTGCCAAATATTCTAAAAGTCCCTTTTACCTTCGTTCCTTTCTTTATCGCCTGTCATACTTTTTACCTCGATATATACACCACCTTTCCCCACCCTCGTTTCCTATCTCGCTTCCCTCCGTTTTACTCGCCACCCTTTTCTTCGCTTGTTTCGGTAATACCCTGTATAGAAACGCACGCATACCCGTGCACTCGGAAATGAACTCGGGCTCCCGCCTTCGTCCTTTGCCCTTCGCTATCCTTTCGTCTCTTCGGTGGTCTCCTGTTAGTTTCGCTAAAAGCCTGACAAGGTTGTTACGTATAGAGAAATTCAATATAGCCGTTAATTCTCAGATACTTGTATCTACGTGATTGCCACAACCTCCTCTCTTTTACTGCAATAACTTATTACCAAAGAGTGTGTGACACGCAAAGTGCAACCGTGTAAGAAGAATTGGAGATTTCAATGTGCGAATGCGAATGCGAATGCGAATGCGAATGCGAATGCAAATTAGTAATAACAAATGAAGAGTGGGTTCAATCGCAACAGGACGAAACAGAATGAATGTTGGAAAGGTGTGTTGGTGCACCAACTACCAAAGGCCATAGTTACGTTACTGAATGACTACCCTCTAGCGGTAGTCTTCGGTGAGTTGCTAGGATACACCCCAGGTTCGAACCCCTACGGTTCAGCTACCAGTGCCCGCCCGGCTACTTTTCATTGCATTTCTAAGAACATGTGTATGGTATTAAATCGAACGAAATCCCTATACTAAATAGTGTCCTTTTTGCATCAATCTCATCAAATAGTTCGTAACATTCTAACACGAACACTGAAAAAACCAAGTTCAGTTTAGTAACGATCAGTTTTTGTTTTTTCTTTTCAGCTTTAACAAATAAACAGAAGAATGTAATCAATCTGATTATGTAAATATCATATTTAATTGTAAATGTAAAAATATAGTTTCGCAAGTTGTTCTTCGTTAATTGTTCTTCGGGACAAATGGCTTTGTCGCTGAGAGTGAAGTCGTAATTGCTTTTACGCGAATGCAATTATGGAACTTTAACGATGACGCTAAGCTCTTAATTGCGTTTATGCTCGAACGAGATACCTATGTAATCGAGGAAACAATAGACAGAGAGTGTAGATCTTGGTGCTATAACGTTCTTATTCTATGTGTTTCTCATCCGTCTTCGCGCCTTACGTACTATACTATATCGTATTTCATATACGAATAAGCAGGCACGGTCTTTGTATGATTCATCTATTACCAAATAGTTAGAATCGTTCGTCGAAGCGATAGAATACAATTAAAAAATATAATTACAAACAACCCTTACCGTTTTTGTGCAAAAACCGGAAGTTGCTTTAGGTTTTTGAGTGGCGACATCTTTCGTATTTAACGCTAACTTTCCTTCCAGACGTGTACCGGTTTACTCGGCAACCGGTACTAACCCTCGACATGACACAAAAGCCACTTTATCACACACTAGAAACAACTGTTTCATACTCGTATTATCGAGAGACGACGACGATTTAACGAGAACTCGCTAAAATTCACCGACAGTAGACGTTTTAAACAGAACTGATGATAAATACACGCACAAAATGGCAACTCACGAACCAATCGTTTCAGCTTGTGCGTTTACAGGACTGCCGTAAACACCTCCAAGTCAAATTAACAACTTTACGTTCGAAACCTCTCTTTGACTTGCAAACATTTTAAAGAACGAATTCGTTGTTAAAATTATGTACATTAATTGTATGATAAAATCTGCTACTTGGCGTAACAAATATGCGGTATAAACTTTGAATATTATTCAAAGATACGTTGATGTTGACTAGGATTATTGAAATCCGGCAATCACAGGCCAAAGCGCCTCTAGTGTCATGGCCTTTTCCTGTTCACGCTCAATCTAACGAAGACGTGAACGTAAGTTGTATGGTAAGAAATTTGGAGGTTCGATGTATTTACCCGCCGGTCGTGCGAAGAAAAGTGATATTAAAACATTGGAAACACATAAAGATTATCAGTGATTTTAAACGCACCATATGGTCTATAAATTACGAGTTGAAGTGTTTCTATCGTACATGTGACCACATGGCCACATGTTTTCACGATTTTCATACAATTTGAATCAACAAAAGTTCCAAATAGTGGTTTTCGGATAAAATTTCGTCTTTAAAATAACTGTATCCGATACAAGGATTACTTCCATAAAAATTCTGTGATGTAACGGTACCTGTTGTAAATATGTGCTTCTGTTAAACAAAATTTACACGTATTTTTTTCTCTTATGTATATGTATCGTGTTGATTGACATCTGACACAAAGTACATTTCGTCTGTGTTCAGGAATTTATTAAAGAAACTGTTCTGGAAGTGTTTGTGTATTCGATGCTACGAAGTATCGAGAGATCAAGTTTTTTTTATTCAAGTTAGATATATTTTTGTTGTTGACATGCCTAACGAAGATAAAAGTTTGTCGCGTGGAAACTAATTGCCTGCTTCGCGTCGTTTCTCCTTGTTTCTTACATATCCTGTTTTGAAATTTGTTGGCGTAGAATCATTTAATGTACGAATTCCTATTTTACAGATAAACCATGGCCGACATGGAAACGTTCGATGATGTGGTACCCACCACGGCGACTTTACCAGTGACACTTTCTGCAGAATTGCCAGAAATTAAGTTGTTCGGTCGTTGGAATTGCGACGATGTGCAAGTCAACGATATGTCGCTACAAGATTATATCGCAGTCAAAGAGAAGAACGCAAAGTATCTTCCACATTCAGCTGGGCGTTACGCGGCAAAACGATTTCGAAAAGCTCAGTGTCCTATAGTGGAACGTCTCACAAATTCTTTGATGATGCACGGTAGGAACAATGGCAAAAAGCTAATGGCTGTGCGTATCGTAAAACATGCCTTTGAAATAATTCACCTCCTGACGGGTGAAAATCCTTTGCAGGTAATTGATATCTCACAATTTTATACCGTTATTATATATATATATATATATATGAAAAATAAAACATAATTTCATTCGATTTAGATTCTCGTGACTGCTATTATCAACTCAGGGCCTAGGGAAGATTCCACGCGTATCGGTCGAGCTGGTACGGTCAGAAGGCAGGCGGTGGACGTATCTCCGTTGCGACGCGTGAATCAAGCGATCTGGTTATTGTGTACCGGTGCTAGGGAAGCCGCATTCCGTAATATTAAAACAATCGCGGAATGCTTAGCCGATGAACTCATTAATGCTGCCAAAGGCTCGTCCAATTCATACGCGATCAAAAAGAAGGATGAACTCGAGCGTGTTGCTAAATCTAATCGATAAACACCTCTACTTGTGAAAACGTACAAATAAATGTTTTATCTTTAAAGCGATCTTATTATTACGTTCTACCTTTTTAATCGAGAGACTTTATTCGTAAATGCATCGGGTAAAGTACCAAGAAAATGTTCAGTACTAACAAAATAAATTGCGAAACGAAAATTAAAAGAAAATGTTTAAAATCCCATCGATTTTACAGCAAAGAACTGATGCAGTAAGCGACGAGCAATAGTAACGACAGAAGATTGCAAGTTGGAATAATACGTTTGGTAATACATTTGATGAGTAAAAATAAAAATGATGTTAAATGTAACGTTGAAATTGTTCCGCTATGAGGAAGACTAACTGAATTGTAGAGATACGAAGTAAGGTTATGTTGTTTCATGGTGGGAATTTAGGATACTAGCCAATCACACGTAGGAACAACTTTTGCACCGGTTCGACTCGAGTCCATCTAGGTAACTGTAATATAATTCAGTTCTACTGCACAAGCATGGCTTATCATGTTATTATAGACAGTTTTAGATGTAAATTTGTTCAAGGGTTGATCGCGTAATCGGGTTTCCTGCGGTCGGATAATATTTTTGATCATGGCGAAGGTATTAAAGAAGGTAATTCATCCGCAGATGTTGACAAGACGATAAAAACGTTTGGTAACGCTAAATTTGTCTCAAATTCGACCGTGATACAGAACATAACCAATAACATTCTAATTTTGATCGTTCGATCTTATTTTCTGATTTGACTTTGGCTTCTTTACATCCTAATGGTTGTTTCTTTTCAGACGACAGGATTAACGGGAATTGCCGTATCAAAAGATCCGAAATTTGAACTAGATAAACTTTACAGAAGAATTTTAAAGGTGTTGTCAACTTTACCGCAAGAGTCAGCTTATAAGAGAAATACCGAGAAACTTATCCGAGAGAAACACGAAGTCATTCAGCAGGTAATTTGAAATCTACAGAATATGGTAAACATCTAATACGCCGTATCTACAACATTGCAGACCAACGACGTGGCTGTTATAGAAGAAAAGATAGGCTGCGGTCAAGCCGAAGAAGTTATAATTCAAGCAAAGAATGAATTGGCTCTGGTAGAACAAATGTCAAAGTTTAGGCCATGGGAAAGGTTGATAGAAGAACCTCCGGAGAATCAATGGACGTGGCCTCCTCATAAATAATTTTAATTTTGTCACAGAAACTTGAACATGGTACTAAACGAGCAAATTGTTGTTTGTTTAGACAATACCATAGATTAAAATATACATTGTAGTTTCTATCGTTTATTTAATTGTATCCGCTTAACGGTACCCCGTAATAGAAAATAAATCTAGAGTTTGTTAATGGATTTTGCATCTTTGTCGGGTTCTTTTAATCGGTCGAACGTTGGGTTTTAATTAATCGAATTTTAAGTAGTCGAGCACGTTCGGTAGAAAAGAACGTTACAGTGTACGGCTGTTGTACATACATTTATTGTTCGTACGAGCAATGATACTGTAACAGAGGCTGCTGCAAAAGGAATGTAGAGAGGAAAAAGTTAGCGGTGCAAAGGATAGAGAGGAAGGGAAAATGCGATGCGTTACACGGTAGTGGGGAACAGGGTAAGGTAGGTAAAGCCCGAGCGGAGGTAGGAGAACGGTTTTAACCAGGCTTTGGGGGTGGGGATTCGAGGGTCGGCGCTCAGTCCTGATTTCGCGTCGCGCTCGAGGATAGCGAATGCTCGAACTGCACTTCTCTTCGAGACGTCGAACATTCGATACATTGTGCCGCATTGTACCGCATTTTCAATTCTTCGCTCTCTTTTTCCTTCTCTTTCCTCTTCCCTCCCTTTTCATTCTTTGCATTCTACCCGCTCGCTCATTTTCTCCGCTTCTTCCCCTTTTCCCTCTCCCCCCGCCGCCCCCCATCCTTCTACACCGTTTCTCGTTAAACGTTCTTCTTTCTTTTGGCGCAAATCAAACGTCAAACGATACGTCGACTCCACGTTCGAAGGATACATCGAGTAGTCGCGGTTTCGCGTGTGCTCCAGTGTATCTCGAGTTAAATGCTACGTGGTCTATCGATCGCTCGTCGTTCCGATCAAGACGAGTAGTCGCGTAGTGACACCCGTGAGATTTCGATCGTTTACGTGGGATGACTCGGTGAGAAGCGAAGAAAAGTGGAACAAGGAGCTCAGTGGAATCGACAATCGGTGTGTACCACGTTTCGTCTCTAAACGTAGTTTTACGATCAGCTTAGCTTCCGGTCCGACGAAGAAACTTGAGAGGCGCAAAGGTATCGGCGTTCAAGTTTGAAAAAACGATACAAGCGTCGAGATATCGAACCGCTATGAAAGCTCCGAGTATCGATCGTTTGAAAATCGGACGGTCGTTGTCACAACGGACAACGAAACGAGTTTGAGTTTGTCCGGAAGTCGAGCACATATATCGTCGTATCGTAGATTCCGAGGCAGGAAACAATGCTCGCGGAAGAAAACGCGTTCTCGCGGGCGAAGACAATGCGCGTGATTTCGTTGAGCGCGACGAAACGAAAGCGGCTAAGATATCGTCTGGACTCGAACGAACGAACAAACGTGTTTGGGTAAAGAGACGGTCGGAACTCTGCATAACATAATATCGCAAACTCGGTTTCGCAATTAGCGTTCGAAGGCACGAGAATTTATGGATCTCGAGATTTGGTCGATCGATCGAAAGATCCGTGGATCGACTGGAACGCGAGCCGCCGACATTTGATTCTCGAACGAGATTCTTTTGTTCTCCCGCGCGATTTATCCGATCGTTTCGTTGGCAAACGTTTCCTTTCGCGGGATACTAGTCTCGTAGAAAGCTGGCCCCGGTTGCCTCGTAGATCGCGCGCGGTCCGAAAAATTCTACCAAAAAGCATCGAGTCGAAGAATGGGGTACGCGAACGAAATCGGAAGAACGTTAACGCGCCGTGACGTTGCCCCGTTATGTGCTCGGCGCTCGACGTCCCCGCTGCGACCGCGAGCTCTGTTTACACCGGAGATGGATTAAATTAATTTCGAATAACAGATAACGTAATTGAAACGTCTTGTCCCAAAGGATAGATGCAAACTCTGTTAACGGATGATTCGCGTTTACGTTTTATTAAAATTTTCTGGTTCACGGTTGGCGAAACAGTTGCACGAAGAAGATGGTTGGGGGATCAACGACGAGCGTTGCCCGCGGGCGAATCTCCGCGCTACGCATTCGTTCGCTTTCGAACAAACTTTCGATCGGTCTTGGAACAAATCCGTAAGAGGCGGTGTAAAAGGCGAGGCTCTTTTCGCAAGGCCGAACATTATTATTTCAATGCGTCTGATTGCGTAACGCGCGCATATTCTCGGCAGCAAAGAGCCGCGCAAGCGGTTTTCTTCGTTCAAGTATCCCGTACGAGAAGCAGAGACAGAGAGAAAGTTTGTTCGTTGCACGGTTCGAGGTCCCTCGAGAGTATTTAGCCGGAATATAAAGCGTACGTACGCGGTATATTTGTCGGAGATAAGTTACCTTAAAGAGGCGAGAGATTAGCGAAAAGCGACAAGGATCGTGTTTCGGGGCAAAACGTCTGAAAGCGACCGCTTGAGATTCTTTCCGCGTTCACGGTAGACCAGATTCCCGCGGTCCTGTTCTCTTGGAGAACGCAATTTGTTCGCAATGTGTCTAGATCGTTAGAAAAGTAAGAGGGTGTTCGAGAGCATATTGAATCGCGTTAGTGAGAAATAAAGCGAGCGTCAACCATCGAGAAAAGAATCGATCCTCGGTGAACCACGGTCGGCTACGCGTAGGTATCGCGTTCGCTCGTTACGCGCGATCGAGCTTTCGCTCGTCGTTTTGCTTCTAATTAACGAGAAGGTATCTCACGGCTCGCGAGGAGACCACCGTCTTTCTCCTCCGGCTTCCCTGAGAACGCGGCTGCGGTTCCTCGCGCAGCGAACCGTCGCGTCGCGTCGCGATTCCGCGCTCTTTCTTCTTTTCACGCGATCAATTTTGCCAGGCGCGTTTCTATCCTTTCGTTTGGTTTTCTTTCGCTGGACGGATCGAGCGAGAGGTCCCGTTAAACCACGGCCCTTTTTCAGAACTTTGGTTCACCCGTTGACCAACGAGGAGAAAAGGTGTTGACCAGGGTGTGTTGACTCACCCAGATTTCAACGAACTTGTTACGGGATCGAATGGGGTCCGCGCGTATAAATTTCTTCGGAGATCGAAAACGGATACGTATCGACTGCGAAAACAGGCTGAGCGACACGAGCGGATAAGGAGTCGAACCACGGTTACTTGGCCGCGAGCGCGTTCGAGCAATAAGAGCATAGTTCATGCTGCGTCGCTCTTATCACCGTCGATGAAATCTATCCGTAACTGCGTCGTCGCGTCGGTACGGTTTTGTTTCCACGAGAGGTTGGCTTGGCCGATAGAACCGGCGCGACTGTTTAAGCGCTTTCTCTCCTTCGAACAAACAACCAGAGGAGAGAATGCCGAGCGACCTGGCTGGCACGTTCAGACCGCGAATTTCTCAAAGGCTCCATCGTATACACGATCGGGAAAACCACTTTTTTTTCTCGCGTTTTTGTTCAACACTTTCTCCGGCGAGAATCCGCGCGTACCACGGACATCCTATTTTCGAATATTTTAATTTCCGAAACTCTTGGAGTTTCTCGTCGTAAATACATCGGTAATGGACCCAGCGAGTCGTTGACGGTGTCCCACTTGGTCTACAGGAGAAAGCAAAAGCTTAAAAAGATGCAAAACAGCGACGACGGCGAAAGAATTCGCGCGAAGGCTCGACAACGATTGTGCTGATGCTGAATTTACACCTGTAAATCGATCGAATATACCCTCGAGTCGAGAAACCAGGCCGATGCGATGCCTCGCGATGTCGTAACAAATCTACCTTCCTGCGTAGCCTTGACCGGCTAAAATACTCGAAAAGTATTAAGTACGTATAACGAGGTCGCTAACACCTTATGCGATTTCTCTCGTTATCGTTTCTTCTCGATTCCCGCATAGAAAATCTATGTCTCGACGAAGCTTGCAATGTTCCTATAGTAAAGATAAGATGCCCGTTCGCGTGAAAGTTTCGGCCATCGAGTTTCAGATCTTTTCGCGGAAGAAACGCGCGCGCCTACTGTCTGGGCCCCGGAAATCTTTCGCGACGATGCGTTTCCCACGATAAGGAGCGCTAGACGAGCGTCGGCACGCAAATTCCCGGCATCGAAGTCTCCTCCTTGTTCGGTGTTCGAATTTCCAGGCACCGTTACAACGATCGTTCGCATCGTTCTCTCTTTGCGCCAGCAACTTTCACTTTTCGTCGGCTCGCACTCTTTGTCCGTCAGCGTCGAGGACGTCTCATCGAGTTATCGGGCCGTTCGATCTACGCCGGTAGACGACCGCCTACGCGCACCGAGAGCACCCACCGCGAAAACCTTCCCCCGACGATCTACGCGCGCTCGGAAGAGCAACGGTCCCAACTGGAACGCTAGATCAAAGCAAACGATCGCGAGTATCGCCCTTTCGACTGACACAACCATCGTTCCAGCTGGTCGAGAAGTTTTGGGTCTCCGAATCGACTGGCCAGAGTTATTTCCTCGCGGCATTCAAACAAACACTTTTTTAAACAACGAACGCAAAAGATGATTTTACGCAGAGTAGCCAAAATGCGACTCGCATCACTGTGGCTCTCAACCCGCCGTTTATTAAGCGTTGCGTCGAAGAACAGTTTGGAAACTCACGCGGATGTCTTTGGCGGCCTGCAATAACCTTTCGCGTGACACGTGCGCGGTCATCAAAGTGTTAACTCGGTCGACGAATTACGTCCGCCTCGGCAGTTTAGAGACGATTACGTTGCCGTCGAACATTATGCGCGACGACGTCGCAGAATTTGTCGAATCACGCGACGGAGTTGGCGAAGGTAAACCGTTTGACCGGGCCTCGTTGCGAGTCGAAAGGGCACGCGGGAAAAAGCGTGGTTGAGAAACGTCCGATTCTACGTCGCCATCGAGGATCGTGCGCGCGGCCGCGTGCCGTACACCGGAAGTTCCGCAATAGATGTTGTTATGCTCCGCGAAAACGTGTACACGTATATCTCGACTCACAACCCGCGTTTTCGGCGTATAGCGTACGGTACGAACGCATAAACCCCGTCATGGGTTTGATTCGGGTTAGACGGAACGGAGAAGCAATAAACTCTCGTCTCGCTCTACCAATGACTATTAAATTTCACGTTTCCACCGCGTTCATTCAAATCTGAATTAAACTCGATTCTCATTACCGCGATTTATATTTCAACGATGTTAATTCACTTCCTCCGCATAACCTGATTTTTATCTCTCTCTTTCTCGGTCGTTTCATACTCGTTTACCTTCACAGTCGTTGCTCGTAATGTATGCGTGCTGGGTAAATAGGATTTGTAGGCGATTGACAATGTTTGATCATCGTGCGAGGAATGCGTGGCCATTTTGACCCAGTTGTAGTCAATTTATTCGACCTTTCGAACAGATACGATTGTCTCGAACAGCTTTGCAAAACTATTGGCGAATTTATGGAGTTCTTCGAGTATACCGCCAAGTCGGACGATTCAGGTTACAGTCGGGTTCCGTTATTCGTAGTACAACCGGCGCGGCGGCGAGTCGACGAGTATTTGAAGATTTATCGGACACGCGTACGATCGAATACGATTCGGCTGCCGCGTCTGCTCCTCGTTCGTTGTTTCTAATTCTAACACTATTACACGCGGTCCCATATGTATACATATTTTCGAACTCGATTTTCCCTTTAGACTCGAATGATCGCCTCGGTCGTACCACGAGCAACCCCGTTCTCCAACACCTGTTACGTACGTTCCGTATCGAAAGATTTATAATCGTCCCGGAGAACACGCTACATCGCAATTTACGCGCGCACCAGACCTTTTTTCATCCTTCGACGTTTCGTCAAACTTTCGCCGGCTGTTTCGTACGACTCTGTCCCGTGTCGCGGCGTTTCGTACGGTGCGGTATCTTCGAGGTCAGGTTTAAAAGCAGCCTATGGCTGCAATTTGCGTTATAAAGACGTAAAAAAAGGTACGCGCCTATAATGCTTAGCAAGCTGTCGGACGGAAAATGCGCGCTCGCATGCGCAATCGAGTGCGCGGACCGCGAGAAACGAGCGCACTGGAATGGTGGTATCGTGGCTGTGATCAGTTTCTGTGCGTCTGTGT